TTTTTTTTTTTTTTTTGAGAAAGAGCGAGCAAGTGAACATGAGCAGGGGAGAGGGGAGAGGGGAGAGACAGAGAGAATCCCAAGCAGGATCCGTGTTATCAGTGCGGAGCCCAATTCGGGGCCTGATCCCACCACCCTCGGAGCGTGACCTGGGCAGATAGCAAGCCAAATGCTCAAACAGCTGAGCCACCCGGGTGCCCCGTCCTTTATTTCATATATTGCCGGGCTCACCATTATTTTGGCTTTCTTGCTTTAAAAATTTTCTTTCTCGGGGCGCCTGGGTGGCTCAGTCGGTTAAGCGTCTGACTTTCGCTTAGGTCATGATCTCGCGGTTCGTGGGTTCGAGCCCCGCATCGGGCTCTGTGCTGATTGCCAGCTCAGAGCCTGGAGCCTGTTTCAGAGTCTGTGTCTCCCTCTCTCTCTGACCCTCCCCTGCTCACGCTGTCTCTCTCTCTCTCCTAGAAATAAATAAAAATATTAAAAAAAAAAATTTTCTTTCTCTTCTTTTGTCTACGAGCCCAGCCCCCTCCCTTCTGGGCCCACCAGCAAATAGTGCAAAAGAGTGAGGTGTCCAGCTCAGGAGGGCAGTCCCTTGTTCCTGATGGGCTGAGTTCAGGAAAGCTCCCCCTTTATATGAAATCCTGGGATCTGAAGACAGGCCAGAAAAGCTCCTGCCACCGCCCAACCACATCCTGACGCCATGGCCGTGCCTCCTCTCTCCCTTCGCAATTCCCAGGTGTCTTAGCTGGCCCGGGGCTGCCGTGGCAAAACCGCTGTGAACCGGAGATTTATGCTTTCCCAGCTCCGGGGCAGCTTCCCAGGCATATGGGACCCCGCGCGGGCCATGCTGTCTCTCGGAGAGCAAGTCCCTCCAGGCCCTGCTCATGGCTTGCTGGCCCTCTTCGGGGTTCCTTGGCCTGTAGACAAACCCCCCAATCTCTGCCTCTGTCTTCACACTGACGTTCTTGTGCACGCTGTGTCCAAATGTCCCTTTTATAAGGACATCCATCATATTGGATCAGGGCCCACCCTAAGGACCTCGTTTTAACTGGATTAACCTGAAAGAGACTCCATCTCCGAATAAGGTCACATTCTGAGCTGCCAGGTGGGGTGGGGGGGGCATGCCTCAGCCCCCAACACCAATTGTGCGTGTAACTGGCAGCGCCTGCGTCACCCCCAGACCCAGACTCAGGACAGTATGGAATTCTGGGAAGCCTGCCGCCCCTGCAGCTTGGAAAGGCCCAGAAGCGGGAGGGAAGGATAAAGGCCGAGCAGCCAACCACAGCGTCCCCCACCCCCCACGAAGTCCACGAACCACCTGCCCACCAAGCATTTGGCCCTGGACTCCCCACTTCCCACGAGCATTTGGTGAGCCGCAGGCGGCCACTCGCAGCGGGGCACCTCTGTCAGCGGGGCACCTCTGGGGGGGGGCACCTCTGGGGGTGGGAGGGCCCTCCCCGCCTCTGAGCCAGTGGCCACACCTCTGTCCTTCCCAGAACTACATCAGCTGCCATGACCTCAACGATGACGCCCCTTTGAAGTGGCCAGATGTCCCGTATCAGATCCTGGGAGGCCCAACAGCAAACAAGGTTATTTTTGAGCAAAGGAATGGGATCTACATCTTCTTCCTTTCTATCGTGGATCCGTACTACAGGTGAGCAGGGGCGAATCACCCCGCGCCAGCAGCCTTGGGCGGCGGGGGGGGATGGCCGGCCCTCCCGGGGCAGGCCACACACATGTGAGGGGCCCACCTTTCTCCCTCCCCTTTGCGGGTCCCGGATAAACCCCAATTTTCCCGGCAGCCCAGACTGTCCCTGGGAAGGATGATATTTTATGTTCTGAGAGATATTTGTTCACTCGTTAAGTAAGTCCTGATTCAGAGCCCATGCTGGGCGCTGGGGCAACAGCAATGACCAGCGGCCACATCCCTGCCCCCGGGGACCAGAATCACCCCTTTCAAGCCACATTCCATTGGTGGAGTACAGGAGCTGACTCTTAAATGTGCAGGGGTTTTGCAAGCTAATTGTCTTCGCATCAGTAGCCTGAGATCAGCTACAGACCAAGAATTTACTCCATGGAAGTCAGCGCCCCCTCCAAATGTTCACCACCCACGTGCACTAGACTTCTAGGTGGGCGGGTCTAGATTATCAGCAGCTCCCACTGGACAGGGGACTATGGGACAGTCTCCACCCCCTCCCCCTGCATCATCTGTCTTCTCCAAATACAAAGGCCACCTTCCAAAGCTGCTCCTCTCTCTGCATCACACTTCCAGCTGAGCCCCGCTGAGGGCTCCCCTATGCTGGGTCCCCTCTTCTGGGATGCCTTCCCTCCTGGCCTGCCCTCCCCTGCCTGCTGAGTGCCTGTGGCCCCGTCATCCGGCCCTCCACTTCCATTCAGCAATGGGATGCTTTGTTTGCCTATGTTGAGCCTGGGCATGGCGTCAAGGGGACGCCTTGTCCCCAGAGGAGGGGAGGGCAGGGATGATGCGAGGGAAAACAGTAAGACTGTCACCACAGCACGCGGATGGCAGCTGCAGCGGACGCGCGCGGCACTCGGGGGCCCAGCTCAGCACCTGGGGCCCGGCTGTCCCGCCCCTGGGTTTTAACACATTTAAACACGTGGCCTCACACCAACCACCCCTTTGCAGCTACTGTCACCTGGAAACCACCTTCAGTGTCTACGTCTACGGGGCCTTGCCCCTGTCCATCATCCCCAAGACGGTCACCGTCATCCCGCTCATAATGGCCATCCTGCTGTCCGTGTGGTTGGCCCACATGGTCCCCAAGCTGCTGCACACCAAGAAGGGCCTCAGGCTCAAGGAGTTCTGGGTCAGTCTGTGCCGGAGATGCAGACGGCTCTGCACGTTTTCCCGAGGCAGACGCTGAGCGCACACCAGCGGGGCCGAGTTGTCCTGAAATAAAGCGTTCTGGAAAAAAGGCAGCGGCAGCGCGTCTCAGGCGTGTGTCTCCTGACCCCTGCCTTCGCTGCCTCCCTCCGCAGCCTCACGTCCAAGTTCCTTTGCACGTGGCACCCACATCATGGGCAGATGGAGACGTGAACGAGCACAGGCATGGGGGGGCGGGGAGGTGAGAGGCAAGCCTCTTAAAAGCAGATGCAGCAACATGTCCCACAGAGGACCAGGCCCACGGACGGGTGGGGGAAGCCTGTAGAAGACAGTGGCCCGTGGGATTCCATTTCCGGGACACAAGCCCTATTGTGTGTGCAAACACGTACGTGTATGTTTTGCTATGTGCATGGACAAGTCTGGAAGACTTCCCACGGATCCATATGTGTATACATGTGTGTCCACGGCTGGGCCTGTGTGCGCACACCCTCCCAGCCATGTGCGTGCAGTGCACGTATACACCTATACACCCAGTGCGTATTTGCCTAGGACATGAGCACACGAGCGTGCGGACCCATACACATGTATAGATGTGCATACCTGTAATACACACACGTATGGACAGCACGTACACACGCGTGCGCAGGCAGGGCCGGGCACACCTACACACGATGTGCACATCATCTGCCAGGGACTTCCCTTCGCCGAGTGCCCTGGAGTTTAGTCTCAAAGATACTCCAACTGGGGCTGTGGGGAGAGGGGGGCTCAGAAGGAAGCTGGGGGGAAAGGGGGCTCCGGGCTTCTCTGTCCTGGCGCAGTACAGGGCCAGGCGTAGGAACAGACTCGGCCACACGGCCCGCAGCACGGTCCCAGCAGCTGTCTCTCCCCAGCTTTGGAGTAAGGGTTCAGGGAGGGGGCCCCCCAGCCACCCCAGCAGAGCCCAACAAGGCAGGCCCTGGAGACCCAGCCCAGGCCCTGGCGCAGGATCCTTCCTCCTCTGCAGGGGGAGAGGAGTGAGGGGCAACCCCCTCTCCACCACTTGGAACACAGATCCTTACAGAAACGGACAGAAGCCCCCATTCCTGCTGGCTGACTCCCAATTTCTGGGATTTGGAGAGGAGGGATTTAGGATCCCCGGGGACTCTAAGCCTCCCCAGCTCAGCTCCGGAACCCCAGCACCTAGGAGGTGCCGAGGGGCTGCTGGGCCTTCCCATGTGACCCAGCGACCCCCTGCGACAAGGCAGGGACGGTCCTCCACAGCCAGCCTCAGCCCACCGTCCCCGGGCCCCTATGCCACCAAGCTGACAGGGAGCCGAGAGGTCAAATGCATTTTAATGGGGGTCAGCCCCCAGGTCCTGCCGGGGCCCCGCAGCCTGCCTGCCCTTGCCTCCCTGCCTCCCCTTCTTGGCGGCTGAGGGGCCGGCCCTCTTCCTGCCAGGCGGCTCGGGTCGCCACGCGGGGGCTGCGGTGCTGGCGGCTGGCGGCCCCGGGCGGGGCGCCGGCTCCTCATCGAGCGCCTTGAAGTTGAAGAAGTAGTCCACGTTGGACACGGTGTCCAGGATCTCGGGGACGCTGTAGTCAAAGGACAGCAGCTCATCCGGCAGGTGCAGCGAGCGGATGTCGCTGGACGAGTCGTCCCCGCCGCCCCCGCTGTCCGGAAGGGCCGGCCCGGGGACCCTGCGCGGGGACCCCTCGCGCTCCGCGTTGCCCGGCAAGCAGTCGAAGAGTTTCATGGCATCTTCCAGAAGCACCTTCTCAGGCAGCACAAAGGCCCTGGCCGCCTCGGGGGTCCGGGCCTCGCCGGCCCCCAACGGGGCCGCCTCCGCCTCGGCCACCCTGGGCTCCCCAGGGCCTGGCGGACAGAGCAGGGCCGGCCCGGCCCCGCCGCCCTGCGGCTCCTGGGCGGGGAAGGCCAGGGGCTCGCCGGGCCCGTGCAGCTGACTGAGGCGGCCCTGGAGGTGGCCGTAGGCGCCGGCGGGCAGCGCGGCCTCGGCGGGCAGCGTGATGAGCAAGGAGGGCAGCTTGCTCTCCTTGGGGGTGGGCGGAGGCGGCCCCGGGCCCTCCCTGAGCAGGGGTGGGGGCAGCTCCATGAAGGTGGGGGGGCCCCCATCCCCCACAAAGCCCAGAGCCTCCGGGCCCGGCCCCTCGGCGGGGAAGTAGGGCACGAGGTACTGGGCACCCCCGGGCACCGACGGGTAATGCGGGTAGGGCGGGGGTTGTGGGGCCGGCACGGGGGCCTTGAGGTAGGCCTGGGGCTCCAGGAGGTAGGTGCCTGGCGAGGTGGGGACCCCCGCCGGACCCCCGGGTGGCCCCCCACCGCCCACCGCTGTCAGCTTGTACAGGGACGACTGGCCGAAGTCAGTGGTGGCCCACTCGATTCGGTAGATGCGGGGGTCAAAGAAGCACCCACAGGGCGCCATCTGGAAGCCTGCGGGGAGGGAGGGAGGGGCCCTGAGAGCAGCTCTGGGACCCCCGTGAGGGGAGGTGTGCAGGGAGAGGGGGTGCAGGCCAGGGAGGGGGCTCTGAGAGCACCTCTGAGACACCCCTGTGAGGGGAAGGGTGTGGGGGAGGAGGGGAGAGGGGGGCGGGACACAGCCCAAGCTGAAGGGCCCATCTAGGAACAGGAGACACAGACTGGCCTTTGGGGACCCACCTGGGAGTCAGGGGCGCTAGGCTTGGTTGCGGGGGGGGGGTCTGTCTGGGAAGAGGGAGCACAGGCTTTGCCCTTGAAGGACGAGACACAGGCCTTACCTTCCGGGGGCCGCTTAGGGTCAGGGGCGCGGGCAAGACAGGCCCCGACCGCTCCAACCCACCCCCGAGTGCTCATCAAGGACTGTGGGGAGGCCGGTACCTGCCGGAGGGGCTGGAAACACCTCTTTCTCCGGGTTTAGGGGCTGATACAGGTTGGAGGAACCTGGAGACAAAAGCAGGTGGGCGGGGTCCCGAGCCCTGGCCCCCACCCCGCCAGGCACCCCCACACCCGCCCCACACCTAGCGCCCTCTGACTCGTACCCACAGTGGGAAGAGGCTCTGTGCAGGTGGGGACGGGCTGGCTGCCTGGGCCCTCGGTGCCATCGAGGCCCCGGGGGCCGAAGACTTCCTGGGGAGCTGTGGGCGCGTAGAAGGGTTTGGGGTGCTGCATGGGGAGGCAGGGAGCGCGGCCCGGGCAGGCCAGGAGGGCAGCAGGTGGGAGCACAGACGGCCCACCCGGAGAACAGGCTCGGAGTCCTGCAGAGTTCTGTTTGCCTGGTTACTCCGGGCGGCGGGTTCCAGGCTGAGGCCTGCCCACTGGTCGGGATTCCGGGTATCAGGGGGCGGGGTGGGGGGGTGGCCAGACAGCAGGCTGAGAAACCAAGGCGGCCAGAGGGAAGGGCGGGCCCCGTCTCTGTCCACTGCCTTCCAGCAACGCTCTGGCGTGTGCCAGACCCTCTTCCTCCAGGCAGCCCGCCTGGACCCACACCCACTCAGGCCGAGACCCCCTGCCTCGTGAGCGGCAGCAGCAGGCGACAGAGAGCTGGGCCCATGGGGGCGGCAGCTGGGGACACTTGTGGATGAGAAAGAAAAGGGAACCGAGAGGAACGGGGGCAGCCCGGTGTCGAGACACAGCTGACCGGAGAGGGATGGGGAAGCCTGGGGTGACAGAAAAGCCTGGGTTTTAAAAGAATAAAATTTATTTTTTTCTCGTGCAGCAGGAGACCCCCGGGCCCCTTCCGCCCCCACGACTACTTGTACGCGTTGGCCTTGTGCTTCGGCAGAAAGACGAAGTCGGGTGGCACGGGTCCCAGGAGCATCTCACTGCGCGGAGGGCGGAGGGCAGGGTCAGGCCTGGGGCCCGCTGACCACCCCTCCCCAGCCTCCCATGCCGCAGTGCCTCGGGTCCCTGGCACCTGATTCGGATCCAGTCGGCCGCCTTCTGGCTGGCCATGAGCGTCTCCAGGTAGTCGCGGCCCAGGTAGTAGGGCGGCCGCTCGTTGATCCTCTGCGGGAGCCGCTCCAGCAGGCCCACAGGCACGTACCTGCAGGGGCGGGGCGGGGGCAGGGTCAGGCCAAGCCCTCCACAAGCACCGCCCCCCGCCCCTGTGGGCAGGGCCTGGCACCCACCTGCACAGGAAGGAGAGCCACTCGAGGAGGAAGCGGCGGGTCTTCTCCACGCCCTGCGTGTCGGAGCCCCAGTGCTCCAGGCCGTAGCGCGTGAAGTCCTGCAGGATGGCCAGGCGCTCGGACGACGAGATGTCCCAGTGCCGCTGCTCCTTGATCTCCGTGAACAGCCACGGCTTTAGCAGGGCGCCGCTGCGGGCGGGGCGGGGGGCCGTCAGCCCGGGGCGCTGGTCCCTGCCTCCCAGCTACGCTCCTCCGACCTTTGAAGCCCCAGAGTTCCAACCCACAAGTGCACCGATGCCCACCCCCTGCCAGCAGGTGGGACCCCGTCTCTCTGCCCCGGATCCCGGCAGAGCCACCAGCTGGGGACAGAGGGTGTGGAATGAGGCAGTGGGGCTGAGGGCGGCGGGTGCCGTCACGAAGCTCAGACACGCCAGCACCTTCCTGCCTCCAGCTGGTTCTGTGGCCCCCACGCACAGAGCACACTCACCGGGCGATCATGATCCCGGCGACACCAGTCTGCATGGCGCGGTTGGCATCCTCGTACGACAGGATGTCCCCGTTTCCTGAGGGACAGAGGCTGGTGTCCCTGGGGCGCTCTAGGGGAGTTCCTGCCAGCCCAGCGACACCCATGGGGGGCAGGGGAGGGTCCCAGGTGGGGGGTGGGTCCAGGCGCATGGCCTTAGCGAGCACAGGGGACCCACCGAACAGGGGCATGGGGCTGGCCGCCGTCACACACTGCTCGATGTACTGCCAGTCGGCCAGCTTGGTGTAGCGCTGCTCCCGAGACCGGCCGTGGAGCTGAAGGAGAAGCCATGCGCGGGGAGGGAGAGAGGGTCCAGGGGGTGGAAGTTCAGACAGAGAAAGAGAGACCCAGAGAGATCAAGAGGGACGGGCTGAGAGGGAGAGACAGAGAGACAAAGAGACAGACGCAGACAGAAATGAAGGGAGAGCCAGAGAGCAGGAGGGAGGAATGGGGAGAGACAGGCCGTTAGGAAAAGACCGCCGGGCGCTCCCTGGGCCCTGACGCCCTTCGTGCCCCTAGACCCACCGTGACCAGGGCTGCGCCCCAGTCCCGCAGCTCGGGCAGCAGCCGGTGTGCCAGGTTCACGCGCTCCTGGACGCCCGTGCGGATCTTCACAGTCAGGGGCACGTCCAGCACCTGTGACGATGACTAAGGTCAGCGGGACCCAGGGGGGGGCCGGGGACAAGGCAGGGATGTCAAAGCGCGTACCTGGTTCATGCCGCGGACGATCTGCTGGAACTTGGCCGAGCGGTTCATGAGGGCACAGCCCCCGCCCTGGGAGAAACAGGCGGCTGGAGCGAGCGAGTGCGGGACACAGGCCGCACCTGACGCCCTTCTCTGTCTTAGCTGAACCGGGGCCCGCTGACGCCCGCGGGGCCCCAGACACTCAGCAGGGAGCAAGGCCAGGTCCCGGGCTTCCGCCCCACCCACACCATGGGGGTCTGGGGGCCGGCAGCCACTACCTTCTTGTACACGAGGTCGATGGGGCACCCAACGTTGATGTCCACAAAGTCCACGTCGATGGTACGGTTGAGCAGCTCGGCACACTTGGTCATGGTATCTGGGAAGGCGCCCTCGAGCTGCGGCAGGTGGCAGAGTGAGAGGTGAAGAGCTGGTCCAGGCCACCCCTGCCCACTACCGGGACACGGACAGTGGCCTCGTCTTCCCGAAGCCACCCTGTGCCAAGGCCCTCAGCCCTTTAAGGGGCATCAGGTCTGCGCTCTGGCCCACGGCCGAGACAAGAGGGGTCTGGGAGTGACTGAGTTGGAGACCCGACCTCGAACCCGGCTCTAAAACCAGGCAGCCAAGGGCCCCTCCTCCCTCCCCCCCTCGGGTGGCACCAACCTGAACGCCAAAGATGTCCTCACACTGGTGGCGTCTGAGCAGAGCCCACTCAGACGTCTGGCCCTGCAGCAGGCTGGTGCACACAGCCATCTCCCCACACGTCACGTCAGCCCCGAAGCGCTTGCAAATCCGCCGGAAGGGCAGGTTCCCGCACTGTGGGGGGTTGGGAACACCCACGTGTGAGGAGGGAACAGGTGGAGGGACCCAGACCCCTGCCCCAGCCCCGGGACCCGCCAGGCAGGGGCGGATGCTCGGCACCGGCGGACTCTCCTACCGTGGTGAGGGGGGCCAGGTACAGTTTGCCGCTGATGTCCAGCTGCAGGGGAGCAAACACAGCGAAGCTCGCCCCTCCTGCCTGGCCTTCGGGGGCTCGTGGGTGCCCCCCAAGCCCCCCAGCACAGGCCCCGCCCAGCCCAGCAGCCCTCTGCCTCCCGGCCTCTGCACGAGTCAAGGCCCTGTGAGGGCCGCTGATCCATCCTCGGCATTCTCCTCTGTTGCACAGCTTCAACTCTACTGTCAAAACCGCACCCCGATGCCCCTTCCTCCAGGAAGCCTTTCGCTCTGTCTCTCCATCCCAGCCCTGACTCTCCATCCAGCCTTTCTGTCCCCTCGCTACCAGTGCCCTGAACAAGAAGCCCCCAACACGTACCCTTCTCTTCTCACAAGGCCGCAGCCTGACTACATCCTCATCCGTCAGCGGCCCACGGGTCCACACGGAGCCGCTGGGAAGGCCACCAGCATCTGGCCCTGGGGGGGCCCGCTGGGTGTCAACTCTGTCCTGCCCGGTGTCACCACTGTCCTGCCCAGGGGTGCTTTCGGCCTCCGCGCCCTTGGGACTCTCGGCAGCGGGGGCAGGGCCTGGCACCTGGCCCTGGTTTAGCTGGCGAAGGGCCTGCTCAGCGCGTTCGAAGCGCACCTTGCGCTTTCGCAGCTGCTGCTGCAGGGCCTTGTCCAGGCCGTTGCGCACGGGCGGGGCCCGGACCCACTCCTCCTGCACCAGGTTCTGGCCGTCGGGTCCCAGATGGGCCCCAGCGAAGCGGCAGGTCACACCATAGGGACACCTGCCAAAGGTCTCAAAGAGTACACAGCGGGGGCCCAGGTCTGATGGCTTGGTTTCCAGGTAGCGGCCCACGTCATGCAGGAAGCGGCAGCGGTCACCGAAGAAACACTTTGCGGCTGATTCCTGCATGGAAGCGAAGAGGCTATGAGGGAGGACGGGGAGGGGCTGGGACAGCCAGGCAGCCTGGGCAGGAACCTCAAATCCCGCCCCTCCTTGGGCGCGTTTGCACCATCCTCAAGCCTCAGTTTGTCCAGCTGGAAGATGGGAATAATGAGGACACTCACTACGTAACTTCCTGAAGATCGAGTGGGGGTGGAGCGGCTCGGACTGCAGGACTCTAGGACTTTCAAGTGACAATTACTCACCTGGACCAGGGAGGGGCAGAGCCTGTTCTTGTCATACTGGGTGGGCTTCATGTGGGGCCGGCCTTTGTTCTGGCCCCGGGCTCTCTTCTGGACCTGCGGCTGCTCCCCACGTTCAGCCGCCTCCCCCGGCTGCCCATCTTCCAGTCGGATCCGCTTGGCTTCGGGTTCAACCAGGTCATTGCCACCAGGGTCTCCTGCCTCGGGTTCCTGGCTGGGCTTCTCCTGCCCTTTGGCTTCCAGAAACTCGTGGAACTGCTCCTTGGTGGTGAGGTATCTGCCGGCAGAGGCGGAGGGAGAAAGGGCTTGTGGAGGGAGTCCTTTCTTGTGCTCAGGCGCAATGCACGATGGGCAACGGGGCTGAGAACACCTGTCCCTGCTTACGTGCTTCTGCTAATGGGAAGCGCACTGCTGAGAACCTGCCAACTGCGGGCCCTGGCGCACCTCGAGGCCACAGGCAGGACCTATTTTGTCCCTGGGTCCCACTGCCCAGTGTTGAGCCAAACTACAAACAGACATCAACGTCCCTGGACCACTTTCGGCCAGAGAAAACTACGTGTCCCTGCATGCCTTGCAACGTGGCCACAGCCGCCACATTCCCCAGCGCGCCCCACGGCCCTCGCTTCACACACACAAGCCCCTGCCCAGGACTGAGGTTGGCTGGAGGTGCCCCAGGGCCATTCCCGCGGTGCGCGGAGACTACAGTCCCCAGCACGCACCGCGGCCCCGGCCGCAAACCCTGCCCGCCCCGGCAGGCGCCGTGGGGTCCTCGGCGCACGTGACAGCCCCGAACGCGTGCGGCGTCCGAAGGTGCCGCGGTCCCCGCGGGCGGTGGGACGGACCCCGACTGAAGAGCCTGCGAG